GGCCCCTGGGCCCTGGGCATGAGCGGGCTGGGTGCTCGGGGCTGGGCGGCTGCGGTAGGCCTGTCCCCGAGGTGGTCAGCGCCTGGAGCCCAGGTCGGGGCCTCTGAAGAGTGGCGTCCACCCCTGAACTAGCACCTGCTTGACTTCCCGTCCTGCCCCATCCCCACGCTGTCTGTCCATCTGGCTACACCTCTGGGCACCTGTCCAGACACCCACCGGCCCCCCATGGGTCACATCAGGGCCACAGAGGGCGCTGGACCTGTGGAGAGGGGCCTGCTGCTCAGGCTGCGGCGGGGGGCCGGGCCCACGGGGACGCATCCTCTGTCCTGTCCGGCAGGGAGCCCTTGGGGCAGGCCAGCGGCCAGAGTGAGGCGGGAAGCTGTGGGGGAGACCCACGCCGCATGAGGGGCCCTGCCTTCCCACCCCTCTGACGTCCACGGCCCCGGGGCTGGCTGACGCTGGGGAGCCCCCAGGCCTTGGTGGTCAGCAGTGGCCCACCCATCCCCCGGGAGGGCCCGCAGCTGCCTGGTGGGGCCTCCAGTGTCCTGCTGGAGCTGACCCACCTGCCCCGGCCGGCCAGGGGCCTGCAGCCAGGAGGAGGGAGCCGGCCCTTCCTGCCGCGGGCGCGGCTCTGGGCCTGAGTGAGGGGCAGCCGGCTCCCGGCGCAGTGGGCAGTGCTTGGGGCCCCACAGAGGCGCAAGAGCCCCGTCCTCACGCCAGTGACTGGCCCTGACCACACTGAGGCCGTCTGGCCTCCGGGGAAGGACCACAAAGGCCGCTGCCAGGGCCTGGTGCCCTGCTGTTGGGCCTGGTGTGGGCGCTGAGTCCCCCAGTGGGCTGCTGCGCTGACCCCTGCCCCTCCAGGTGCCACCTGGATGCTGCAGCAGGTCACCAGCCATGTGGGGGGCTCAGGCCTGCTGGGGCTGCGCCCCCAGGAGGTGGGCCAGGGAAGCTGTTGCCCCATCCAGGTGGACACTGATGGCCTGGCATCCGGGCAAAGTGGCCACTCACCTCTGGCCTCGGATCCTTCGCCAGGGAGGGGGAAGGGAGGTGGGGCGGTGGACCCAGGCGGCGGTGCCCCGCATCTGGGCGAGGGGGTGGCCTCGGGAGGCCCGGAGAGGAGAAGGTGGTCTCTGTTTGGGGTCAGCTGTGGGAACGAGGGGTCGCGGCTCCTGTGGCCTAGCGCGAGGGCCAGCCGGCCGCCCACCGGCCGCCTACGCACCTGCA